GGGGGGGGGAGTGAGCGAGCGGCTGCGTGGTGCTGAGTTGCCAGCCGGGTTAAACCACGACAAGTGGTGAACTAATCAGCTGCACGGACCGAGCAACAGATGTGCTTGTGTAAAACCTGGCAAAAGTCTTCTAAAGCACCGTTGTATTTATTGCTGCCTAGCACGTTTTTAAGGCAGAGCAACGGAGGAATGCTGCACTGAGAGCGCACCCTTCTCATTTCACTCCGGATTTACTCGTAGGATCGCCGTTACACCCACTTCCCCAGCTGAATGTTTTCTGTCGTGTTGACATTAAAGCCAAATCTACATTTTTCTGAGGCACGAGAGCTCTGTTTCTGTAGGACTGGGCACGAGTGATGTGCAGCGTTTGTCACTGGTGGCACGTGCACATCGATACCCTTGGTACGGTGACGACAGCTCGCGTGTACGAAAATGACTAACAGCGGGAGCTCTGCACCTGCAGGCGGGGGCCGTGTCGGACGCTGTCACCCGGCCCAGCAGCGGCCTCGCCGGTACCTGACGGAGCGGGAGGTACACCTGCACCCCCACATCTGGTCGCCGCGGTGGATTCCCAGTCCGACTGACACCCTCGAGGAGTCCCAGAGGCTGAACGCGGACGGGAACGTGTTTACGCTGTGACTGCATGAAGCTGTTTCTCCCCCAGCGCCCCCGGCTGTGGTTTCTGTGGGTGTCACCTCTGGTATGGCAACTGCCGCTCGGTGGGCGCTCGCGTTGTACCGCGGTGACTGGTACAGGTACCAGATGCTGACGGGGAGCTGCAGCATCTCAGCCCCGACGAGCCTTCCCCCGAGGAAGTCAGGCTTAAGGCATCTTCTCTTAGAAGACAACATCGCTCCAAACCCAGTGACTTCATGTGATGTTTGGTCAGCACCTCACGAGCTGTAATTCGCCTCTGCTCGTCACCGCTGCTGCTGGCACGGGGTTATAACAAAGGTGGGTAAAGCTGAAACCCTGATCGGTAAGAAACGAATGGCGGTGAAGCTTAAATCCCCACCTGGCACGCAGAGGGGGGCTGTGAAGAGCATTGGGGGTGTTCGGTCTGGCTCCCCGACCTGCTGCAGGATCACGCATACCTTGGCCATTCTTCAACAGGTATTTTCAACTTACTCTTAATAAAGTCCGGAGATAAGAGTTTAGATAGCTTCTCCAGGCAGGCTGTTTTATAGTTGTTTTTTATTTTATAGTTGTTTTTTCTCCATTTATATATTTTCCATTTATATATTTACACATTTTCTCCATTTATAGTTGTTTTTTCTCCAAACAGCTCATCAGAACAGCCCTCCCTGCCTGAAAGCCAAAGACTTTTCTTTTTCTGCTGTCAGTGGCAGCATTTGCCGTGCTCTGACCTGAGCCTTGCTCGCAGTTCAGGGGTTGTCGAGGTTTCTCTGACGGCTCAAGCAAACCGAATACGACTCACAAGTCACTTAAATTATTTTCCTCTGACTCCTCTCCTCCGTTTATGTCCTTCTTAGAAGACAAAAGCCACAATGCGGAGACAATACCCCGGCAATTCATTAGCATTGAGTACAGTACTTGCCTCCTGTGCCTTACACACCACCACCACCTAAACCCACCCCAGAACATCACTTGTCTCTGTCTGCCCTTGGGCTTATTCTTCCCTGCAAAATGGCAGCCCAGAGTTTTATGGTGCGCCATTTTAATGTTTTTCCCTTTCCCTTTTGCTTTGACCTTTAACTACTCCATGATGAATTTCACCTGATTGATTTCAGATCACTTTTCCAGCTAATCAAGGCTCCTTTGAATTTCAGCCTGTCCTCAGAAGTGCTGACAGCTCTCCCTGAGTGCATTTTCTCATGTTTAATAAGAAAAAAAGGGCCTCCTCCTGCATTCAGATGACCTATTTAAAAAGTACCAAACAGCACTACGTCAAATTCTTGCGGGCCTTACTTGACCAGCCTTCCCACTTTCAAGTTTTTGGTATCTACTACCAAGTTTGATTTTAGCCAGCTGTCGACCTAACTTACTGCAGTTTTACCTAGACTCTCATTTCCACAGCTTGCTTACGTAAGATCAGACAGGCCACTGCCCAGGGCGTTCAAAGTCTGGATTTGCCCACTGATTTTTTTCCTTACCGACTGGGCCAGTTACCCCAACAGAGGCAGAAGATGATTATTGCCACGGGGCTTGCTGGCAGATTCACAGTGGCAGTCTCTTGTGTTCACCCTCCAGCGACCACTAGGACCTCGTATTTACAAAAAAAGAAAAAAAATCCTACTTTTGTTCATCAGGAGAGTGGTGCCTCCCCTGCCTTTGTACACACTTGAAGACAAAAGAAAGGTTTGGAAGCTGACCCAGCCAATGCCCTGGGTAGTCCCAGGCAAGACCCACGAGGCTGTGCTGACCCAACTCCATCCAATAAATACATTGGAAGTTGTTGGCATTCCGACAGCCTTCCTTCTCCCTTTCACTCCCCGGCGCCCCTTCAGTGTCGATGCCACCTGGCTTGTTCAGTGGGATCAAAACCCAGGTTTTTTTTCTCCTCTGTTAGTTGGCCAGCCTTGCGCATTGCAACCCTCATCTGATTTGTGTTAGGATAACGCAGATGCATGAGCTAAGAGTAACAGAGTACGACTGCTCTTGTTAAATGTGCCCCGCTTGGGCTTAAATGAGCTCAGTTCTGTGCCAGGACAGGTCGATTGCTTATTGCAAACTGAGGCAGGGAGGCATTAGGGGGCTTTTGCCCTCTCTAACTCTTCCGAACGAAGGTTTGCTCACACACAAAGAATAAACAACTGGCAAAAGTCCAGTTTTGCTTTTAACAAACAAGCCCATGTTTTAAGTAAGAGTTTTAAGAAGACGAGATACAAAAAGAAGCACTCGACGTGACAGATGGACGGAGGACACGACCCGCGACCGGCTGGCTCACACCCCAGGCGTCACCCTGCCAGGGTGCACCCCTACCCCCCGGCGTTCCAGCCCCGCTTTGCCAGTTGCACGCTTTGGGGGTTTCCTGCATTGCCTGGGAACCTGCCCCCGTGCACTGGGCTGCTTCGGGCAGTCTGTCATGCAAGAAGCTGATGCAAGGAATTACGGCGAGTGGTTCCATGTTCCAATTTGTTTTTCCATGTCAGAGCATCACAAACTGCTCTTTTGTAAGCCTAGCAGTTATCGAGCGTCATTAAAGCAAGCACTGTCCACAGAACTGGCAAAACACAATTTTCCCAGCATTTCTTTAAACAGTCATTCAAAAAAGCACACACAGAAAACACATCCAGCTCACCATGGTTTTCCTTTATTCTGTACAATGTAGTGCATTCCGTTTTATTTCCCCACTAGATGAGCCTTTGTATGGGTGTATTTATTTTTTCTCTTCTTACACAGCCATTCTACATTACACTGCTAAGATGTGTTATTATTTCATCACTATCTGAATCCATTCTAGAAGAACTATAATGACATGTGCTACAGTCTTTGAAGGTTTAACTATTCATTTGTCCCTTGCTTACAAAAAAAAAAGCCACAACCAAAAAAACCAGGAAAAAATGCTGCCATAGTGGTAAATAGTGTAAGGTTAGCCTTAATGTTCTATGAACACAAAAATACAAATCAGCTAAAATATTCATAAATATGTACCCAATTCTGGTGTGGGAAGTAGTTTATGACATGCACGTAGAGTGCTTAGCCATCGGAAAAGACACATATGTTTCATGTTTATTTTTACTTGCTTACTGCTGCTGCTGAGTATCTCATTAGATTCCAGAAAGCATATAGGTATGAAGTATAATGACATCCCCTAGGAGGAAAGGCTGAGGGAGCTAGGCTTGTTCAGCCTGGAGAAGAGAAGGCTGAGAGGGGATCTCATCAACACCTACAAATATCTCAAGGGTGGGGGTCACGAGGACGGAGCCAGACTCTTCTCAGTGGTGCCCAGCACCAGGACAAGGGGCCATGGGCACAACCTGAAGCAGAAGAGGTTCCAGGTGAACGGGAGGAAGAACTTGTTGACTGTGAGGGTGGCCGAGCCCTGGCCCAGGCTGCCCAGGGGGGCTGTGGAGTCTCCTTCTCTGGAGATCTTCAACCCCCGCCTGGACGCTGTCCTGTGCCCCCTGCTCTGGGTGAGCCTGCTTGGGCAGGGGGGTGGCACTGGGTGAGCTCTGGGGGGCCCTGCCAGCCCCCGCCAGGCTGGGATTCTGGGATTCTGTGATCCTGAATTGTTACTATAGCGGCAACAACTGTGATCAAGAGTAAGCAAGCTCAGTGCCACTACGATTATGTTTTTCTGTAAGCAGAAGAGTTACTAGCCAAACCTTACCTCCTTCCAAAAACTGCTTTGGTTTTTTATCACATCTCTGGAAAAATGCAAAATAGTATTTTTATGTTAACCTTTCCTGCAAGCTTCAATTGCATCTCCTCTGCGTACGCTGCAGGTCCCAGTTCTCCACTCGCTGATGCACATTAAAACATTTACCCGGAGAATCCAACTGCGTAACGGAGATTTACTCAAGCAGTTTTCATCTTACGCTATGTGAATCACACTGCCAACTTTTCAGAGAACTGCTCTACTCACAGGTCTGGTCAGAGGGGTTTGGTTTGTGTCTTTTTTTTTAATTTCTGACAGTGAGCAGACCAGATTCCTCTTCACTTGCACACATGTTCCAGTAGTAGTCTATAAATATTACGGAATTTTAAACAGCACGGAGCAGTGAGTAGCAGATCCGAAAGCAAGAGATTAGAAGGCAGATCTTGAAAAGACGGAGAGTCAGTCGTGTATAAAACAGGAATGCTGACATAGTAAGTACCTGGATAAACTGCATCTATGTTCAGACCAATACTAGTTCTTAACTTTTTTATTATTATTTTAACCGCAATAGCTTTTCTAAGGTGCATGAATGAGTATTCACTGTGGACTTAAAATCAGTCTTGACAGGAAGTTGGCTCCAGCACACTGTAATTGGCATCCCACTACACTGCATTTTATAATCCTTGCTTTAGTCTGTCCTTAGACATGGGAATTCCTGTTGAGTTCTAATGCTTAATACCCTGCATCTTTGCAACCAGCTAAATACTCCACGCGTGCAGTTAGCACCTATGTACTGTCCTTCCCATGTATACTGAAGTGTTACAGAATTAGAAAATGTAAAAATCTAGGTTTGTTGTGCTGGCTACTTATATAAAATGCTTTGGCTTTCTAAGACAAAGCAGTAATTGTTCAGGCATCTTTGCTTTCAATAGCTCATATAAGGCAGTATCTCCAACACTTGAAATAGGCATAATACTACAAACACAGTATGTTTTCATATCCTCAGTCTTATTGTTTTTATTTACTTACATTGACTAAGCCACTTGTCAATTGCATTCTCATATTTTTTTGGTTCCTTTAACCAGTCTTGATGCCACCTAAGGTTGGCAATGACATTTGAGTAATTCTGACCCAAACTTTGTTTCCAACTGATAAACTGTCTTTTGTTGTAGTCCTGAACATGGGAAGAAACCTTTGGGTAGTTTACCACAGAGCGGAGTATTTTGTCCAAGGAACGTACAATTATTGGGAATTTTATGGCCACGTTCGTTAGCTCATCTGGATCAGCAGTTAGGTCTGGAACAAACAAAAAAATCAGTTAAGAGCCAATCTGCATTTAAGGAAATTAACGAGTCACGACAATAAAAGCTGTAATGTACCGAACAGTTGTGGAAGTACCGAACGGCCATCTGAGTACGCGATATATTTCCATTTGCCAGTTCGAAGCATGTACGTGGAAGAATTCACGTTGCACCCGTGGAACTCACTCAACACCCACGAGGGCCGAGGCAATTCATTTTCAGCCTTTCCACGCAGCAGCGGTGTAAGAGAATACCCACTGAGGTTCTGTGGGACAGGAATTCTTGCTATATCTAAGCAAAGATACACAAAGTCAAAATGCTACTGCAGTTACCGTGATTAAAAAAGCCTAAGATAATGCTACAGGCATCTGAACATAAATTCTCTTTCAGTAATAAAACATGTGTTCCTAACTACTCTCCTCATAGAACACAGGAACCGCAAAATACGCAAATAATAAAGAAAAGATTTAAGGAACTTTCCAAGGTCAGCTGCTCACCATCTTGATCAGAAGCAGTATCAGCTATGTCTAAGTCAACCTTGAACAGATGTTTGTTAAAACCGATCACGATAGCCTCCAGTGATGGGTGGTGCTTTTTCATTTTTTTTAAATCATGGTTTTATACCCTTCCCTTCTGCTCTGACCACATCAGACAGGAGAAAGAGATTGTCATAGCATGAAAGGACTCTAAAAGCTCCATATCCAACATGGTCTAACCATTCATTTCTTTGATAATAACAGTGCTAGGCTCCTGCCTCGCATTCTTCATCAGTGAATTACAAAACACTTTACAAAAGGTGGCCATTACAGTTATCACCATATATATAACTGATGGGGAAACTGAGGAACGGGGCCACTTGCTTCTCTGGTAGGGACGGAGCTAACGATGGTATCAGAGGTGGTATCAGTCCCCGAGCCCCGAGCAACCGACTGAACGGAACGAACCGACCGAACTAACTGACCCCCCCTGAGCATGACGTTATATGGTATGGAATAGCCCTTTGGTCAGTTTGGGTTAGCTGTGCTAGCTGTGCTCCCTCCCAGCTTGTTATGCACCTGGCCGAGCAGGAGAAGCTCGAAAAGTCCTTGAGTAGTCTGAGCACTACTTGGCAACAGCTGAAAACATCAGTGTGTTATCAACATTATTCTGGTACTAAAACCAAAACACAGCACTATGCTAGCTACTGTGAAGAAAATTAACTCTATCCCAGCCGAAACCAGGACACGATGGTATCAGAGGTGGTATCAATACAGTGCACGTATGGAAAATGCTGGATGACTCTATAGCCTGCCAGATGGCCCCTAGAGGATGCTGTAACTTGAATAAGCTCCTCCGTATCAACGTACGTCACAAGTGTCTCTAGCTCCCGAAGATCAGGTCAGCATTAAGGGGCTGCAAAGACATCTCAGAGACATTCTGAAAAACACAGCTGAGAATCCCAGGGATGTTACCTGAACTGTGGTGTGTCATAAAAGAGGGTATGACAGCACCGTTCTTTTTAATCACCCTACAGAGCATAGTGCGTAGTCATTCAAAATTGAACGCTTCACGCTTCACAGAGCACTGTGGTAGTATTCTGCCTTCTGTTCTGCACCAATTGGTGACACTCAGTGCATATGGATTGCCCACAGGTGACTTCTTCCTTCATCAGCATGCATCTTCCCTTTCCTCCTCTGTTTCTACAGCATACATGCCTGTCACTAATCTGTAGTTTTTCCTCTAGTAAATAAAAAGGCCGGCATTCGACCAAGCACTAGGAACACCCTGTAACACATAAACCCAGTAGCCTCCAGCGTGCGGGCTGAAAACTTGAACAAATACATTCTACATTTGAACAAATGAAAAAGAGATACAGGCTTTCCTCTTCTGTCCTCCTAAACCAGGAATGCTATTAATTGCAGTAACTGCATTCTCCACATGCAAAGAATGCTCCAAGCTGGCACTTTCAGCAGCTCCTGCTTTTCCAGCAGAGACCCAAAGGTGCTTCCATCCAGACCAACAAAGCCAGTGCTGTCTGGAGGAAAGCTTATGCCACATCCTGTTAAGAATGGAAGAGCTGTTGCACTCCTGGCTGAATTACCCGTATCAGACAGATTCTGCTGGAATCTCAGCATGTGTACCACACTCGCCCTAGGGTGCACCCAATCTCAAAGCCAGTAAGGGAGGAAGTATCGAGCAAAGCATTTGGATGGAGTCTTAAGAGAGATTATTGCCCTGAGACAAGGCCAAGCAGAGGGATTACATTTATCACGAAGAAAGACTTGAAATCTGTTTCCTCACTAGTCATCAGCAGCATGCAGTCTGAAGAGGTAACAGATGACAGAGATGATTCTTCGTGTTTTCACATTCATCTTGATGTATGTACCCTTTCTGACATTCAGATTACAGGAAAGGGGAACTGCCAGAACAGAACAAAAGGACTTACACAGTTCTGGGAAGGAAAAAAAAGGAGGAAAAGAAAAAGAAGGAGGGATGTTAAACAACCTGACCAATTGTGTTATTTGGGGGGAAAGCACAAAGAAGAAAACCAGATTTTTAACTCTTTACATATGATACCACAACTTATATAAGAACCATATCTGATACAGATTACTTTATATAAAAGATTTGATATCAGAATTTGGAAGAGAAAGTTACTCAGATTTTACCCTATTTTCAACTGGGCAACTGGTTCAAATGCTTTGAGAAGAGATGGGCAGATAAATGTCTTTGGTTCTGTTTTTAGAAAATCCCCCTAATATAGAAAAGGATTTTTCACTGTCTTTTACTGTTAGAAATACAGCTTTATCTACTGCCCCACGTTCTCTCAGGCAACTGCAGCACACACGTGACACTTCTTAAAACAGAGAGGTCTGCAGACTGCCTTGAAAAGAACATTTTCTCTGATCAGTAGCCTAAAAGATCCCAGATAAAGCCTAGAATGGCAACTTCACCTAGTGTTTAGTTCCAATGAGATTCATCTCTTGCATGCTTTATCACAGGTAACTGTTCAAAAATTCACTCTTAAAAGTAATTTACACCTGTGCATAAGTAATTCGATGTCAGTCCTTTTTATTTGATTCTCTGCCCCATAATGACTATTTCCATATCCCAGAAGGCAAGAATGGATATCCATTATTGTATCTTATTATGCTTGCCCAGATCAACTGTATATTTCCTATACAAAGTTTTTATCATGTTTCACTGTGATTTCTGTAGCAAACTTAGGTATGAAGGCTATTAAGGATTATTCATATCTAAAACGCATCTGATTGTTTTTTATCACCTTTTTGTAACAAATAATCCTATATATAATCATTCACTGTAATTGTGTTGATGACAGTAACAGTAATAAGAAACATCATCAGCTCCTTTATTTCATTTTTAGATACCTTTTTTGCATTTTGTGTTAACACCGTATGTATGCTCCACACATAAACTGTTATCTCCTGTTGTGTTACTACATTGCCTCACAAAGCGGAGACATTATTCTGACTGTAATGGAAATGCAGAATAATAACTGGGGAAAAAAATTTCATTTGAAATTACTTAACTCACCAAGCATAGTAGGATATATATCCACGAGAGATACCACATCTGGTACTTGCTGCTGTTCTTGTACGCCTGGCCCCATAACTAAGAGAGGAACATGGGAACTTCCTTCATACATGCTCATTTTATAGAACTGCCGGTGTTCCATAGCAAGTTCTCCATGATCTGCTGTGAATATAACGATTGTTTTTTTAAGAAGCCCAGTGTCTCTCAGGGCTGAAATAATCTCACCTGCAACAAGAAAAGGATACTGAGAAGGATACCTTCAAAATATTCCTTCCAACTTCTGTACCTGCAAAGCAGCATGCAGACCCTGAGGAATCCTAGACGGAGGGTTGGACGCTCCTGTCTCTGCCATAGAGGGCAGAGCCCAAAGCATTCAGCCCAGAGTAACATACAGTCACCAGTGAGTGGCAGGGGTCTAGCTCCCAGTGAAGTGTGGAGGGCACTGAACAACAACCAGAAAAATTTCAAAAGGCAAGGATGCACCGCAGGAGAAGCCGTATTTTTGCTACCGTCAATTTTGTTTCATTTCTAGCATAACCAAAAATAGTTACTTCAACAGCAGTAAAATAGGTCAGCAGAAGCCCTGACCCTACACATTTAGGCTGAAGGACTCTTGCCAGTATCCACCTTACACATGATCAGTGGAAGTCTCTCCTTCCTGTGCCTACATCCCCACAGGAGCCCCCTGCACATACATTTGTGCAACGAAGACAGGGCCCAGATCAGTGAAGAGGGTCATAAAGTAAAGCACTTGCACATCTTTAACGTTAAAAGATGATTCTTGCTCAAACAGACTAGTTAAAAACTTCAAATATGTTACCAAATCAAACCCCAGTGTAGGTACTTTGCAATACCTTCATTCCCTAAAACTGCCAGGCTCCCATTGATCTCTTTTCTTTCATAAAACATGGAAAGGTAATTCTGTCTTTTAAATTTCTTCATCATTCTAACACTGCTAAAAAGAGCAGCTTATTTATTCATTAATTTCATATCAGAATGCAAGGAAATTCTTGGTTTTTCATGGTCACTTTTCAAATTAAGAAATAAAATACTGTAAATGAAGAACAATTTGCATTATAATTTTTATGTATGTAGACCTTACTGCAAACTAGGAAGCATTCTGAATGTGTAATTAGGTTTTTTCCCTTCTTAACTTCCAGGAATGTGCTGCTAAGGGAGACTTCAAAGGTAACCTTACTGTTTAGCCTATGCGTAATAGCTGTCACCCAGTTTGAGATCAATCTCTTAAGGAAACTGCTTACGTCCTACATTTTACCTTTCCTTCCATCTTTGCTTTGCCAGTCTGTCCCCTGCACATTGTTTCCGTTATTTCAGTTAGCACTTAATCAAAGGGTATTTAGTTCCTCTTGCACAAGGGTCAAGCAACATTTTACCCCAGTTACTGGGCTTTTACAGGGTCTCTGACTTGTAGTTGTGATTGGTCTTCACAGTGCTCTGATTTCACCTTGCAATAGCCTTAGAAGCTATCCAGTTATTTATCGTATAGACTGATTAAGTAACATTCATATAGCTTACACCCAGATCTGAATTGTGGTTTGTTGTCTTTTTTTCCCTGGAAGACAAGCCCCATCACATGTTCTTAAAAAAATCAGAACAAGAAACCCCACTGCATAATGAAACATCACCTACCCAGCATGGCATCTGTCTCCGCACACATAGCATAATAAAATGCTCTAATATTTCTCACTTCTTGCTTTGTAAAATCTCCTGTGCAATTCTTGGTGTAAGATGAGTAATAGTCTACAGGATGCATCTCTGAAAGAGAAGACCACTTGGGTATTTTAATAGCTTCGTAAGTTACCTAAAAATAAGAGGAAATTAACATTACTTTAGCAACTGAATTAAACATTATTTTTTTAAAACATATTTAATTTAAAACTTTTTAGCATAAATTCACAGTTCTCTATTTGTGGCCCAGGAAACACTAGCTTCTTCTCTGTTATATGCTGCTGCTGCTACCTCCTCCATACTTCCCCTCTGCTTCCGCAGGTATCAAGTAATTTTAAAAGAAAGCTATAAAAATCAGCTAGAAACTAAGGCTAGGAGCCAGAAATATGTGCTTTACCAACCAGTATCTTTTTTTGAGAGAAATTACTGTAGAACAATCTTCTAGAACTGTACGCTAGGGTAAGTGCAGAAGTGTTGGCATAGTGTCTCATTAACTACAGGGTTACTACAAACTGTATGTATCAAAAAGATCGGGTGTTATGTGAGCCTACAGAACAACACGGAGGTTTACTTAGTCTGGTAAGGTATCCAGGACAGTGGACCGCAAGTCTTGACATCTTGATAAAAAGAAAATCACTACATTAGTCCCATTTTCTAATACTTTTCTATTGTTTCTCCAGAAGTCAATCCATTTAGTTATAAAGGAGTGTTAAGATCAGTTTGAAGCTAAAAAGTGGGAGCTGATCAATTACGAATGCTGCTGGATTTGTATATTCAAACTGGCATGCTCACAGATACTGTGTGCTGCAGTACCATCTTTAGAGCCTCAAAGCTTGACCTACACATTTAGTCTAGGCAGTCACACTTGTAAGCATTCCCTTAAGTAAGTGCTGCATTTAACAGTTAATTACTTCTACATTGTAGACTTAAAGCAAAAATTACCACAAAGTAGAAAAGATGTAATCTCAGTAGGGAAAACTTAAGTTTATTAAATAAACCCATACCTATCGCTCCCATTTACCTCTGAAAATCTTCTCTAACAAACAGAGCTCAGGCCTAGATTATGCCAGAGCAGCTCCAGTGCCGGCGCAGCACGTTCCCAGGGCTGCAGCCACAGCTCCAACTCCTGGGCTGGCCCCCAACATGGCAGCACTGGTTTTGGGTAAAATAACCAAGCCACTTAACTGTCCAAAGGGCTCCACACAGCACAAAAGCAATCAGACCAAAGTTGTCCCTAGAAGCCTTACGTCCCTGATTATTTGTGTAGCAATTTAAGCATCAATCCCTGCTCAACCCAATTTGGTTTCCCCCAAGGTGTGGCATGGATAACCAAGAGCTGTCTGTCTCTTGAGCACATGGTAAGGCTTTGACTACCAGTGCTGTTAACGGCCATGTGTTCCCATATCCACAAAATTCCTCCTCCCACAACAGTCCATATTCTCTCGAGTCACCCAGCAGATGTATTAAGTCATCTAAATGGTTGGTAAGACAGCAAGAGTTAAAGTGCCCACAGGGATAAAACCCGGCCTTGTAACAGTCCGACAGACATATCAAAACCTGAATTTCCTTATGTTACCCAAAAAGCCGGTCAAGAAGACTCAGTTTGGAGGTTTAGAAAGCAGGCATTCTTTATCTGCAGCGCTGGGGGCTCAGTGGAAGCTTCCACCAATCAAGCACACCCTTAATTAACAGACGGTGAGCACTTATACATCCCAAGCCACAGGTACCAGTTACACTTAGCCACTGTCACCCTCACTGGTTCCACGGTGCCCCATCTCCCGTTGAAGTTAGGGCATCCTCTTCTTAACTGAGCCTGCTCTGAGAGGAGGGGGCTTTCCTCAGCAGGGGCTTTCTCCACCTGGGGGCGGCTCTTTTGGTGTTATAATGGGATTGTAATGAACGGGGTTCACCCAGAGGACACAGTACAGCTGGAGTTTGCAACTCCTTGGCAAGGCTCAAGGGTTTTGAGTCTCTTATCTTGGTTTCTGCACACCAAGAGTTTCAGAATTGCTCAAGCAAGCACAATGTAACTACCAGAAAAGGTACACAGCAGAATTTTTTTTTCCTTTTTCTTCCCCCTTTTTTCCCCCCCCCCCCCTCCATCTTTTAGCCTTTGTTCAAGGCACCACTTAGGCCCTATAGAAAATATGCTGCAAGAAGAAATCGCAGAAGATAAAATAATATCAGACAACTGCTTCAGTCATTCTTCTGTTGCTGAAGCTCCTTGGCTACATAAAGTCACATTTTAGCCTCCTCAAATCATATTTATTAGTTGCTTAAGATGTGCTAGGAACAAAAAGTGTTCCTCTCCATCCACGATTCATCAGAAAACTGAACACTTTTCTACAGGGCTACAACCTAGTTTTAAGGATTCACAAACCCATAATCCTTTTGTCTGTCATAATTCATAGCCAGGAGAGTAGCCACATGCCCTGAAAAAGTGCCAGCTTGTGCAAAACACGGGGGACCATCTGCTTAGCAACACGGGGTTTCATAAACGTACTGTGTTGACACTCTGTTCTGTATCAGCTCCTCAGTAAACATAGAATTTAATTCAAGTTCTTCATTTATGCACTCAAACTTCTTCAAGAGATTCATCTCTGACATTTTCAAAGACTGCTTCTTCCATGGCCAAAACAGATACATTCCAGAAGAATCAGGCAATGGTCAATAAATGGTAATAGTGGTTCACATGAGTATGTGTACGTAGTGGTGGAAAGGACCTCAGCAAACCATGGAGTTTAAGTACTTTAACTGGATTAAGGATGACAAAAATTTGCTAGAGATGTTATAACTGTGTCTGTGACTTGAAAAAAGGTACCCCCACTTCCCAAGACATGTCTAACCTAGCAATTGGCACCTAGAAAGTTCTCCTTAATACCCAAGTTACATCTTGCCTTCTGCAAATGAAGGTTTTTCCCCCACACTCCTCCTCTCCCCACAAACTTCTCACCATCCTAGAAGAGCCCACAACCCTCACTATTGCAAAGAAATTCATATCTCTAAACATGCATTTGTATATCCTTTTTTCTAAGCCTCTGTATTTTTGTTGTACCTAGATATTTTGCAGTTACCCAGTAGAAGAGGCCAAATGAGTTACATAAATTGCGTATGTTTTTTGTTGAAGTAAGCGTAAAGTCTTTTCACACCTAGTTCGCAGTTCTTCAGCTGCAGAGAATCTTAATGCATTTATGCAGTGAAAACTAGTGGAACCCATTTATGTTTTTATGACAGATAATGGCACCTGGAGACCACACAAGACAGAGAATAAATATTTACTACTTCTTTGGAATGGAGTGCTATCTGTTAGCTTCCTACATATAGGCGTAATGGGATTTTTCTGCACTCTAAACATTGAAAAGCCACAGTAGCACAGAAAGAAGTTAACAGAAAACAGAGACTTCTGCTATGTCTTACTACTTCACGTTCCAGGTTCATATTGTAGGAAAAGTCAATCTCTCACTATAAAACTCAGACAGAATGATTACACACAGTATCATTTATCCCAAGCACAATGCAGAATGTTATAAACAATGAACTTCAAACCATTACTGAAAAAAAATTACAGCTAAGTATAGCAATGATTTAATTCTCCGTTCAGTGGATTTCTAGCCATTGAACTCCCAATTTCTTTATTGATTCGGTGACTACAGCTAACAAACCCTTCCTTACAACAGAGAGAAATTCTTCACTTGTATTTGCTTAGCCCTAAATCAGAAATCTAACATAGAATCATACCATCATTTGGTTGGAAAAGCCTTTTAAGATCATTGAGACCAACTGTACCTGTCCACTACTAAACCCTGGCCCTAAGCACCTTGTCCACCGTCTTCTAAATACATGGACACGCTCCAGCCCCCCCAGGGCCTTCGGGGAGGGAGGGGCCCAACCCTGACCCCAGCACTCGAGGGGCGGCCCCCCCAGTGCCCAGCACAGGGGCACGCTCCCTGCCCTGCTCCTGCTGGCCACACCACTCCTGAGACAAGCCAGGATGCCGCTGGCCCTCTTGGCCACCTGGGCACCCTGCTGGTTCTACCAACCCCCCATATGTCTCATCCAAGTACCTTCTCACTGTGCACTGAAATATCAAAACTGGGAAAAATCATGTGAGGAATAAAATACTGTTCATAATCAGTACAGTTATAAATAAATTTATATTTAAATTTCGTCTTCACATACCTTTTCAAGCCAATAGGGAGATGTTAAAAATGTAGAGGATCCAAAATTTTCTCCAGCAGAAGGTGATGGATATGGGTGTGGTAAATTTAATCCCAAGTAGAGAACAAATGGTTGAGTAAGGTTAATGGCTTCTTCCTTTATCCAGTTTACTGCTTTATCAGTATTACGCCAATCTGCTTCCATCACTCTCACATGCTTCCTATCACCAGTAAGATTTACCATGGGTCTGCCTTCTTGCCGGAGCAGGAAGTCAACATCCCTAGTCCAGGCTTCCACACGGTTACTTGAAAACAGAGATGGAAGATACACAGTCAGTGGAAAATGCTTTATTCACTTTTCCTCTAAGTCAAAAGAGTTAAGAATTCATGAAGAACTGCCCCTATACTTGTAGCTGCAATATATCTGTAATTTCTACATAAAGAATTGTTATTCAATTGATCAATAGCTGTTGTGTGTTTATTTTATACTCAAAGCTTTAGCCATTTTCTTCTGCTTCTGAACCTTCTTTCTTACCTATTGTAACTTCATATCAGAATGGTTCTTCTCACAGCTCCAAAATAATATTTAGAAATAGCATCTCCACCTTGTTGACCCTGCTCCTCATTCTGACATGGATTCATGTACTACTATTTATCTGGTAAAGAGGGCCTTAGATTTTTGTCATTTGAAAAAGTCCTGCGGGGAGTAACTTGCCTGGAGAGGCTGCTTTTAGAAGCATCGTTCTGGTTTTGGATTGTACTATTACAACATTTCACTCACATCAAAAATCTATGAGTGATTTATTTTATAGCATTGCTTTTGATATAGTTGATAATTGCTATCAATAGAAGAGAGTAACAGAGGAGAAGGGTGTAGAGAAAGCAAGAAGGGGGAGAAATGCAACACTTTAATGATAAAATATCTTTGGAATAGATTTTCTAATATCATGACAATTGTTGCCTCTCCAAAACACTGAGAAATTTGAGCTGCAGATGTCCTTTTTTTTGTCAGAATGAATGACACTACTATGGCCATAAACAAGGGTTGGGAGGAAACAGCCCATTTAAGACTTTGACTGATCTTCCTTTTGCTCATGGCAATTTCAATATAACCAAAGAAATTATAAAAGAAAATATGAAGCTGATCAAGGTTCAATCGTGTACTTTCATCAAAACACATTATTATTGTTTGAAAAACATCTAACCAGTTTTGTCCCCATAGGAATTTTACCAATGCACTTTTAATCTCCACAAAACTATTCAAAATCATCTGTGACAATAATTTTTTTATTGTTCTAACTCCTTGTTTAGGCTCACACTTTCAAGGTAAACAGGCTTAAACAAATTAGAACAAATTAAGGTAGCTAGCTGGCCCGTAGAGAAAGCACATTTTGTAATGAATGAATTTTAAACTGAAATTAAAGGAGTGGGTGTGGGGGTGTGTCCAATATTACAGTATAACTAAACAGTATCAACCATTCAAATGTGACGCCACCAGACAAAATAACTATGAGAACAAGGTTAAAGCAATGGCCTGTGTCGATAGCCAAGAATGTGAATGACATCAGCAGAACAGCTCAGTACTGAAGAAGGGGCCATCAGATCACGGTAGAGATGACTTGTCAGCAGCATCCTGATAGCATCCCATGTGCCATTCCTCTTCCCATTATTCCAACAGAAGACCAGAATACAATAAGATAGACACAATAAGCAAACAAAAAGGCTATTTGCCTAATGTTCCTGAAGACTGAAGTAAGCAAGATTTCAAGGCAAAGTATTGAACCATAGCAACTTTTCACTCCTAAAGAGTGTAAAATACCTATGCAAAGTGCCAATTCATCATTGCCAATCAACAGGAAAATAGGAAAGACCTCACCAGATGACATCCCTTGCCCTATCACATGCCAGCGATCCTGTTCAGGCTACTTGAACACAAAACTTAGTATTTGTGAGTACGTTTGTGGGTATGAGATTGTGAGTTGGCAGAGTCTATCAACTTAGAAAGTTAAGCAACATAAAAATTACATTCCTCTTCTATGTAGTCTCATGTTAAGGTTTTCTTTGCGTTAACTCCTGCACCAGAAAATTTATTTGAGAACTAAAGACTATCTGTTTGTTCAGCTTTGCACTCCCTATGTGAAGGCCTTTGTACTGAAGCCAGAATTCACCTATGGTCTTCAGCTCAGGCAGGTGAAAGCAAGACTTCTGGAATCCAGACATTATATACAACCAGCCTTTTTTCTGTGCCACCTTTGCATTCCAGTTATCATAGGAACAGCCAGGAACTTCTGGAATTACTTAGAGCCGCTCTTCTTTAAATCTGGAGTGACTTCAGATTAGAGATGAACAGATTTCAATGCTACAAAACATTTATCCTATCTCAATGAAGGGCAAGGTGAGTGCATAGTATATACTATTTAGACAACACAGAATTTTCTCTGCACAGAAGTGATTCAGCAGAAAAGTGTAAGGGTCTGTATAGTACTGCAGATAATTTCAATTTTTCAGAGTAATTTTAATTTAGTGAAAATCTATTCTAGAAATGCTGAAGAATGATGCACCCACAGAATGATTCCTGTCTTGCTTCATTACATAGAACAAAATCTGACCCTCTGCCTTCTCAAAGAATGGTCTGCTACTGGCACTTCACGGTATGCTGTTAAGACAACCCTCTTTTGAAAAGCATGAGTGCCTGAGGCAGTCACAACCAACCATCTCTACACTACAGTAACACAAACATCTGTAAGCATTCATCTTAATGGTCAGCTGTTTCTTGCCAGAGAGGAAATTTCCCCAACATTCATATAAGCAAGTACAAAGAATCAGAATAATACCACAGCAGAGGACTTTTAGTATGTTGTACAAGTAATTGTTTCTTATTGGAGAAAAAAACAAAAAACTTTTAAAAATAATGCAGTCTTCAGAAAAAAAAAATTCACAGCAAAATATCAGAGGCTGAACACCCATCTGTTCATAGTTAGATGTCAAGACTAAGAAGAGCTGCAGAGACCAGGGAGAAGCATCAGTAACACACAAATATGTACACGGTCTGGTCAAGTAAGTTACATGGCATTTTTGCTGTAAGTCTCTAAGACTTCTTTTAATTCCACTGTAAAACTAGTACATGAAAAAGAGAAAAAAGCTTTCTTTTCTTTTTTGATGGTCTTAAACTGGAGAGGAAATATTACTTTGGCCAGCCTCTGAGTGGATACTATCTATAAAATATTTTGTAGATAAAAAGCAGTGTGCACATGCAACATACGATTAACTGCTAATGTGACCTTTCACCCTCCGATTGCTCATTTTAGAAAGGGAAGTCAGGAAACGTAAAGTAACTCTAATCTGTTTAATATCAAAGAAAAAGCTACTCTTTATCATTATTTCAGCAACAGGCATCATTAATCAGGGAGATAGTGCATCTTATAAAAACTAAACAGAAGGAAGACACCATATTCTGTCCCAACTGTCCACAGACACATCATGCTTATTATTTTTTTAACGTAATGCAGTTAGTCTCTAAATGTTTAAGTATTTTTCATAAATTGGTGTAATTCCAGTCACGTTTTTTGTAAAAGAAAGCTTTACAGCATAGGAAATACAGCACAAGTCTTTGAAAACATATTGCCTTCAAAAAAAACCCACTTCATGTTCTGTGACGCTAGATTTGATATTAAAGTATTATCACATACGTTTCTTTGTTCTGCTTTTCCTACAGTGCTAGTATACTCAAGCCGGGAAGCCTCAAGGCAAGGCAAAAACAGATGATGAATTTCACTTGGGGAGCAATACCAATGATCAAAACCAACCTGCATTCATGTTGGACAAAACCACAGTCTTGATATTCACCTTCCAGCTACAGATAAAAGCCACAGTGCACCTGCAAGGGATATGCTTGCTTCTGCATGAAGTTGCAGGACAGACCCCTGCTAGGTTCCTAACACAATTTTGTTTAAATTAAAGCTACCGCCATTTCAATCAGAGACAGAAACTGCTTGCCAGACCGTTACATGATTTATTCACTCCTGTCCATTTCACAGCAGGAGATTCTATCTGATTACCTTACTGAATGATGCCCAGAGGTATAGTCCAATTTCCCATACTTCTGTGTGTGGTAGCCGTGCTTCTCCATGAGATCCATCCACGTTACATAATCTGGATCTAGACCTTTGAAGTTATTCCAAGATTCTGTTAAATGAGTGAAAAGACCACTCCACATAGCTGGGGGAAAAAAACCAAAAATGAGACATGATTTTTGACGAGTAAGTGGTACCTCCTCTCTAAAGCTGAATACACTCGAGAAGGGATCAATCTTCTCATTATTTTAAAAGTCCACGTTGTGATCCAACAAAGCAGGGAATACAAAGTATTACTCTTCCAATCACATTTTCATCATCAACATGAATAACAACTTTTACTAAAATAATCCCCAGAATCGCAGAAGAAGGTCCCATCTTTCCAGGAGCTATGCAACCGTTAAATGAAGGTTTTCTATAGATCAGGGAATACTCGTTGATTGCAGAAAGAAAATGCCATGGCAGTACAGATCCTGATGAAAGAGTCATGTATTTACATGTGTTCCAGAGTATTCCCTCTCCTTACTTGAGTTACATTTTAATGTGAATTTAAAATTAAGTATGTTTGTGGAGGGAATTAAGAGTGTATTAATGTTATAAATACTATAGGCCCTCAGTTTTATCCTTTTTAGGTCATCTACTTCAGTACCAGCTGTCGAAACAAAGCAAGATTATTAAAGAAGAGGCCAAGAAGAAATGAAACCAAGGGAAGAGTTGCAAAAGACTCTAACAGAAGTTTTTATGAGCAAATTCCTGTGTTTCTTCGCAGCTTGTCAAGAATTGTTCACTCTTCCCAACGGTAATTTTGAGGCAAAGGGGGTCCTAAAACGAAACTAAGCTGTTCTATAAGCAATGGAAATATCCTGTAAGCACAAACAGTATGTCAACCCCAACTCCATACCATGGATATACTCCCACTTTCCCCATCCCAAAGTTCTCCTTCCCACCATGTCTCCTGGTAAGATCCCTGACACCTCCACAGTAGATTTACCCTCAGTTCCTTGCAGGTCTCCAAGCTACTGGCTAAACAAGAGATGTCCTGCTGGTTCAGAGCTACCCTTGTGGTGACTGACCAGTGGTCATGATGAAGTTGACAGACCACCTAAAACGCTAAGCAGAACTGATGAATTGTTGAATTCATCATGCAGCCTCTTCCTCATTGGGAGCACTAGCTGCAACTTTCACAAAACTTCTTGAAATTAAATAACCTAACACAAGGCTATTGTTCTCAGCAACAAAGACAGGCTGAAAGACTCAAAAATCAAGAAGAAAACCCCAAGCCTGATGGCATGTTCATGTAATCTCACTCGCTTAAAATGTGACCTTGAGAAACAGAAAAGGGGACTAGGTCATTAGTAAATGGAATACTAAACACTAACACTAAATCTGACAGCCTGTGCCTGCTGCGGTCAGGACAGGTTGCTTCTTCCAACGTATGCCTGAGAGAAAGGGGGATCTCCCTTTCAGCGATAAGATGAAATTTCATTTACATCACCTCTGGAGGGTCTTTGCAACAACTGAAAGGTCTAGAAATGTTTTAAGATGTAAGCTTTGATTCAAGAACATAGCTTCCTTCCCAGCAAATCTGCAAGTGTGAAACTGAACACAGGAAATGATTGCAGCAGGTAAAGAAAAATACTGAGGTATTCAGTTAAAGCTACTGAAGGATACATTATGTATTTAACAGGGTGTTTGGAATAAATGTCATTGGAAGGTAGTGCTAACAGCCACTGATTCATTCAGCTGTCATTATTTAATACTTTTTTCCTGAGAACAGGAAAGAGATTTATTAACTTCGTGTTGTGAAGGGAGAGTAGTTCTTCAGCACCGCAGCAGACAAACTGACGATTTTTCTACAAATCCTGAAGAATTTTTAAAAAGAAACTGAAGCTTCAGTGGAGTTTGCAGAAAGATTTGGGAGCTCACAAATAGTTGGAAGAAAGATGATCAAAATAAATAAAGGAAGAAGCACGAGAAACATATCAAAAATGAGAATACTGTATAAATTCAGACACAAATGAAAAAGATTGGGTCTTATTGGAAGCAAAACAAATCTCCCAAAATTAAATCCTTTGAAATTTCCCATCACTACCACGTACTTGAATTGACACGTGCAAGTATTGATCTGATGTTTTGCTTGGTCCTACCTGCACGGGAAGGACAACAAATTGGAGAATTGGTGTAGGCATTGAGGAAGACAGTGCCGTATCTTTTCATAAAATTTATGAAAGGCAAATCCACTGTCTGATTTCCTGGAGAAAATGTCAAGCGTCCATCCTGCAATCAAACAGAGAAAACCAGTATATAAACTGCATTAACCCGAACTATTGGCTGAGATAATTCATAGATCCATTACCTTGAACTTGTATTACTCAAATGTTGCCAATTCTACTCAGGTATGAAAAACAAAATCTTGAGAAGCATTAATTAGGTCAATATAAAATGGATTACTTATGAAAAAGTGTAATGTAAAAGATAACCAGACTTCTTCATAGTAAAATTACTTCCTTTCTATCGCTATACATACCCTAAGCTCCAATTCTTGCAGGAGCGGGCTCCTACCATGACGCATTCAACAGGGATAGGTATGGTGAAAGATGAAAAGCAGTCAGCCTGAATCCCCATCCTCTTAATACTGAATAGGTACTTTTATTCAACTGATAAAAACTCCATGACTACTTTGGATGGAGGCCTTTGATCATCTACTTCAAAATGTAAAGAACATGTACAGTCTCCAGGGATGCAGGACCAAGAAGGCCTTAGCTTCTGTGAAATTCCACCTTTAAATAACGGTATGTTTGGAACAGGTAGAAACACTCCTCAGGCATCTGAGTCACAGTGAAAAGTGGAAGGATAACAGAAAATGCTGTCAGCTTAGAACAAAACAGGTAGATGGATGTATGGGTTCTGAGAACTGCTAGCCCCTACAGGTTTTAAGAAAGTGCTTTTTTTTTGAAAGAGTGTATTTGTTTTGAAAATAACTGTTTGAAAAAAACATTGTATTTAACATAATATTCTCCTGTATGAAACATTAAGCAAGCTGACATGGAGAGAACAAGAGTTTCTTTCTGTGGTCAGCATTGAAGAATACAGATCAGGCGATGTAAGACTTCCCATCGGTTTCACACTACGCTGTTTCTGCACATTAGCAGTTTCTGAATTATCACTTTAGTTTAACTAGTTTAATTTTCTGGAATAATTTGTGAAAGGACAAAAAAAAACACCACCAAAGGTAGGTGAGAGCAAACCTGAAGAATTCACAGTCTGTGTTACTACTGCTTCCATTACCCACGATTCCCTAATGCTAGGCACTAATTGTCCAAGTGAAAATTTACAAAGAATACTGCACATAATCAGAGTTTGCAACATTTCACAAAGAACCCGGAAAAGAGAGTTGAGCACAGCATAATTGTGCTCCACCGTAGGAAATAATTCTTACAACTTGCTGGAATATTTTAAGATTTGAATCATTCTATCATTGTTTAAAAATATTTTAACCTCACAGCATGAGCACTTCACTACCTCACTAGCCACCCAGCCATTGCTCATACACTAAGACCACAGTCAGAGACTAACGTAATTTTCTTCACTCTGAAGAGTTCAATGCAGGGACTGCATGCAGAAAAAAACAATTCCCCACGGTTGTTTTCTGGCAGAAAACGCTATTGGGTAACATGGTGTTGTAGAGAGCATCACTTCGTTTGGCACCAGGAGAGCAAACTGTGGCATCCCTGCATCCCTGCACCGCATTGCAGAGGACGACTTATCAGCAAACCGGGCCACCGGAGACCAGAATGTGGTAGAAGGCTGATCACCTCACTTTGTACACTTCTGCAATGGCAACTAGAACAAGCATTCCGTAGGACAAGCTGGAAATAAAGCTGCAATCTGCAATATGAACTTGAAAAGAACTTCAGGCTGAAAGTGCTCTTTAGAAAGTACACGGCTGATGTGTCATCCTGTCATTCATAAGCTTCTCCAACAAACATACTGTTTGTTTGAACAGCTGGAGACAAGAGTTCATTCTTTCAAAACTGGACAGACAGGCGACGTGCTATTCAGTGAAAGAAGTAAGCTGCTTTTACAGGCTGAGAAGGTGAAAGCGGATTTCTGGAAATCGGCTCTCCAAGAACTGTGTAGGACTTGTGGGTTTTGAAGTACCTGAGGCAATCCAATTATTCCGAGTAACAGAAGCAAGCCCATTTCACCCAGGAACTTGAGCTGCATTGCGAGCAGAGCCTGTCATCACTCCCTTAACCTCAAGCAGCAGTTTACGCGCCGAGTCGCCTGCTAGCACGTCCCGTCAGCAAGCCCTCTGAGAAGCACAGCGACAGCAGAAAGCTGCCTGCTCAAGCAGGAGGTCGCTGCTCAGGAGGCCAAACGCAGTCTGGCGTCACCGAGAAGAAAATGTTTGTCACACTTGACAAAACGGGTGCGAGTCCTTTGTAGACAGCCTCACCCACGACAAAGGCAGGCACGCTTCCAAATGAAAGCCCATACCTTTCGACAACCTGCAAGACTTAAGCTTTTTTTTTTTTTTCCCCCAGAAAAACTGTTAGTTTCAACAGTACTCAACTCTCCCTGTTCTCTACTAGTGATGTAACCAAAATGGTTAATCTGTTTCTGCCTTGAAATCCATCTCATAAAAAACTCATGCAATGCAACAATTCTTTTAACATATTCTTCTTCATATGGACTATGCAACTATGATACTTCTCAGAAACAGCACCTTGTTCTTAATTGTTTTTGTAAAGATCATCACAAACATCTGGGCTTTTGTCTTTCATTTTTGTAAGGGTTACCTCACTAATCCCCGTAATCTTCCTGTTTACAGGACAACATACAGAAGCCTTATTAAGATTTGTCTGCAGCTTCTGCTAGCATCTGGAGACAAACTGACCACTGACGAACATCCAGGACCTAAACTATTCTAAATTTGGCATTTTACCGGTAAATAATAGTTTCAGTAGAAGCTGAAAATTTGAAGAAAAAGTCTCACTTATGAAACCCACACATTTCTTTGGAATGTTAAGAGAGATGATATTCTGAAAACAAAATAACCAAGGAATACAGCCAGAGGAAGGGAAGTAAGGGCCTACTGCCTTATATCCGAAATCATAGCAAACACGTGTTTTAAGAAAGGGTTTGAAGAAGGGTGATAAATGTTCACCAAATACCTAGGAAGAATTCATCCCAGGAATGACAGGCAGCAGGCAAGCAGTCAAGTGCTCTTACTCGTGCAGTCAAGGACAGCATTCTGAGATGACTGGGAGCCAAGCGTTGGCTTCTCGACAGCGGATGAGAAGTGATGAGATGTCAAAGTCCTTGGATGTAATGCCACGGAGCTTATCCTGTGTAACATGCTCTGGGTGAACCTGCTTTAGCAGGAGGGTTGGACTGGGTGATCTCCCGAGGTCCCTTCTAACTCTTAACATTCTGTGATTCTGTGAGAGCTCAGATGAGGCAGAGAAACTAGGGCTTTCCCTTTCCTCAAACCTCAAGAAAAGCATTTCCAGTATGCTGAGTGGACAGACAGAAACATGGTGAGAAAAGGGTGAAAAATGTGCTGCCTTTAGCTGTAAGGAAGGAAATGCACTTACTATTTGTCAATGGGGGGGGAAAAAAAGTTTTCTATCCATCTGTGGGTTAAAACAAATGTATCAATAAATCAAGTGTAATAAAGCCAACAGAAGTGTACCAAAACATACCTACTGGTCCCTTTGCCCTTGTCCATACTCATCTGACAAGTTTATTGTAATAGTTGTGATACCTAATAAAGGTCTGAGTAAGTCAATATATGATGCCCAACAGCTTAACTCAGTCATTTCACCTGCGATTACAGAAATTCTCCCTTTCATCTGCTGTGGCAACCTAACGTTCTTAGGATTTATAATGGCAGGAACACCAGGGTTCAGCGACCTTCCTTTCCTTTTTGCTTTTCACGCCAAAGGAAAAGCGTTCATTGTACACACCAGGCCTGTTGGGTTCCTTGCTGCCCTGCCCCAAAGTCCTGCTGACATGCCCCCATCCACCCAAAGTCGCGGGGGTGAGCTGTGCATGCTGCAGCCGACCGCAGGAACCACCTACGCAGAAGTTTTGCATCACGGTCATGCACCTGATGAAGAGGCATAGCACGCTCCCGAGCCAAACGAAGGGTTTGGTTTTGGTGACAAGAGCTGCCCAGAGCCTCAGTGATGTGGGAGGCCTGCCCTCATTGCCCCAAGCGAGCCCTCTACCCTGGGGAGGTGGCGGGAAATCATAGAATGTTTTGGGTTGGAAGGAACCCCCAGAGGCCACCCAGCCCAACCCCCCTGCAGGAGCAGGGACACCCCCCTTTCCTCTGGGCCCCCTTGAAGCCCTGACCGGCCGCACTCAGCTCTGCCCGCAGCCTTCTCTTCTCCAGGCTGAACACCCCCAACTCTCCCAGCCTGGCCTCCTAGCAGAGGGGCTCCAGCCCTCGCAGCATTTTAGTAGCCCTCCTCTGGCCCCGCTCCAACAGGTCCATGTCCTCCTGGTGCTGAGGGCTCCCGAGCTGGACGCAGGGCTCCAGGGGAGGTCTCCCCAGAGCAGAGCAGAGGGGCACAATCCCCTCCCTCGACGCTGGCCACGCTTCTCCTGCTGCAGCCCAGGGTAGGGTTGGCTTCTGGGCTGCCAGCGCACATTGCCTGATTGAATAAAGACCAGAGCTCTTTTCCCTGGCCTGTGGTTGTCGCCCGGGCAGAGCCCTCGCTACCACATCCTCGGGGGTCCCCGTCAGGCGAAGGCCCAGTGTCGTGGTTTAACCCGGCTGGCAA